ACACAGACACTTGCTCAGGATCTGAAGCCCAAACCACACGTTTGGTGAATCAGGCAACTGAGGTGTTGAACAGCAGTTTGGCCCCCAGGCCTCTGAATTCACTCGGTAAGTGTTGGTTGACTGTGAACTGAATGCTATATATGGACCATGCGTTTCTGCCTTCAAATCACTAATGGTCTAAATGAAGAACACAGACAACCTAACAGAGCTAGCACTTCTGAAGCTTTATTACATGAACCTTGCTCACCCTGCCCACTCTAACTTCCTCTAGTTCTATGAGGCAGTAGTTATCTACATTTCACTGAGACATGGAGGATCACAGAAGTTACAGTAGTGTTGGCTCAAAACAGTCGGACTTAAGAGTCCCTGCCCTTCACAGCTACTCCCCATTGGTTCCTCCTCTGGGTGGGCAGTTATAATCCTGGAGGTAACCGCCTTAGCAGCATACAGGGGCTGTGGGGTCTCAGTCCTGGAGGACAGGTGAATCGTCAAGAAATGGTAATGTGAGATTTAAAATAAGTTGGAGCTCTGACAAGCCCACAGAGTTTGGAGGAGGATAGTGAGGCTGGAGAAAGAAAGGGTCCTTACGTGCTCAGGACTTTAACTTTAGTTCTGTCCTAGGCACAGTGAGGAGCCACTGAGGTTAGGAAGTCGGTGTAATAAGGAGCTAATGTGACGAGGGAGGCAAAGAAAAAGGCAAATAGGAAAAAAATCTTAAAGTAGTCAACAGCAGAGTCATATATATGTATTAGAGATGCTAAGAGAATGTGCTGCTAGGGAATTTCTTTATTGTGTGAATAGCATTAAGTGGACTTACACAAACAGACGCTACAGCCTAGGACACAGCTGGGCTACACTGCATATACCACCATCATCTAGGCAGCTGATTTCCTGAAACATTCACTTGGCCTGAATGATTAAAGTAGTTGAGAACTGTAATGAAGATACGTAAGCCAGGTGGGACCAACTGCTGGATTACTAACTTGAGCAGCCATGATGGTGCCCACTAAAAGGGTGAAGCAGGAGAAGAATTATTTATGGGGAAATTGTGAATTCAGTTCCAGGTGTATTGATCAGAAGCACCAGAGTACTATGGAGGAAATGGTTGGGAGATGACTGGGATGCATGGGTCTCAAAGCTCAGCAAAGGTTTGGGCTAGACACACAGACTCGGAGCTATCAGCAGATGGAAGAAGCCACAGATGGATGAGGCAGATGGGGCCACTCGTGGCAAGTACATGGAGTGGGCAAAGGGGGCAGCAGAAGAATCGGGGGAAGCCACATTTTTAGGAATGTTCTGATGTTCTTTCCATTGCCCACCTTTCGGGTTCCATTCGAGGCAAATAATGACACATACCTTTCTTTCTCCATCTGTTTTATTTGTCAGTTGCTCCAATTCTGGATCTAGTGGGCATCCCTTTGTCAATTAAATGGCCACTCAAGAGTCAGGAACACAACTTCAGTATTGGGACCGGGAGAAGGGTAAGTATGGAGAGGCTTAGATGGCGGTGAGAGGGATGGGGCTGGGCCCATCAGGAGTAACTGCCTGGCCCTCCCAGGGGGATGACGAAGACCGAGATGTCATCCCCGGAACCCAGCTTGTTGTTGGGGAGACGCCAGCCACGGTCCCGGGGGATGCCCCGGGCCCCTAGGACCAGAGCTTGGGCCAGAGCTGTATACCTGCCAGGAGCACATGTGCACATTCATGTACGGACACACATAGGAGAAGATGGACATACAGGCCCATATGTGGGTCTCCAGGCTTTCTTCCCCTTGGCCCCTTCCTTCACCAGTGCTTCCCCCCCAACACCTCACCAGGCAGCCCCCTACCTGCTGGGATCATTGGGCTCATGGGCTGACAGCACCTTGTCCACAGTGGCGGCTACCTCACAGTCACTGGTCACATCCCACAAGCCATCTGTTCCCAGGACTAGCACATCATCCGGACAGTGCTCATACTGCGTCAGGTCATACACTCGTACCTGGGAGGGAGAGAGGGGAGAGAGGGGAGAGAGGACTGAGGTGTGAGGGTTGCTAGACAGGGAGGTTGGAGATAAAAAAAAAGGGGGGGGGGGGGCCCTGGGTAGAAGCCAGCCTGAAGGAAAGGTGTGCTCACTCACCTCGGGGAAGCAGGAGAGGAAAGGCTTGATGGGCAGAGTGGAACTACAGACCTTAAGGTTGTGGTCTCCCAAGCCTCGGGTCACCCCAATAGTGGCCATTACCCGGGCCTGAGGGAAATGAGAAGGAAAGCTATTTAGTTCCTCTCTCAGACTCACTGAGACCATGGAACCTCCCCCCACCTCCTCTCCGGTGACACCCCCACCTCCCTGGACAAACTGTGGTAGGTCTTCCTGCCTCTCCCACGGGGTTTACCTTTTTACCCTCCCCACAGACCAGAGGAAACCTGAGATCCTCCAGCTCAATCTTTTTGTAGGCCCTGGGGAGGGAGGAGTAGAGGAGGCATCATCACTCAAAGCCCCTGTCCCCTCCGTACAGCACACCGCCACACCACCGCCACACAAGGCCTTCCAGGGAATGGCCACAGCCCCCAACTCCCAGCCTGACCCACCCTGCAGCTTCCACCTGGCTGCTGGTGAAGGACTGGTTGCATTGCCATGGGAACGGCCCCAGCTCTGAGGGAAGTGTTACCAGCCAGTCATATTCTGGTCCCTGTACAGCATCCTCTGCCCCAGCTCCTTGGGCTGAACTCGTCGGGGGAACTCAAGGTGGGTGAACTCACTGCCCAGCAGTTCCGGTTTCAGGAAGCCCTGAGGTTGGGAGGGGCCAGACAGGAGAGAGAGAGAGCAGACACATCACACCCAGATACAACAGAGAGCTGTTAAATTTGAGTAGATCCTTAAATAAAGTTTACTGCAGACTACACACTCCCCTCATAGTAACATGGATTGACTCATTCACCCCTCACAAAGGCCTGTGAGGCATGAACCATTGACTAAGGGACTTGTCAGAGGTCACACAGTTAGCAAAGTACACAAAGCAGGGTTCAGCCCCAGGCAATCAGGATGGAGAGCAAACATGAGGATGCTAAGATAATGCCCTTGCTGGGGCCTTTGTTGTTCTCATTCCCCACCTCTGAGTGACTCTACTTCCTTCCTCTACAGGGACTACAATGGCAGGCCGGCTGCACTGCCTCTCCAGCTCAGCCAGCACTCCACAGGCCACTCAGCATCTTCCCCGGAAGTTCTCAGTAGGAAGCTTTCGGGAGGGCGAGGTGTAAGAGTCAAGACCAGGGTAGCGAGTTTGGCCCCTACTTACAAGCAGCTGAAGACGCTGGCGTTCGGTCTCTGGTGTGAACTCCCGGGACATTGGAATGATTTCACCATTCCGGATAATGATGGCCCTGCCCGGAGACAGACAAGGCTTGGATCTGGCCTCCTCAGGCCCCTTCATGGAGAATTCCAGAAGGAACAGGCCCTCCCCATGATAAACCTGATGATCCTCTCTATCTTTCCTTCCTTGTGGCTGTCCCTGCCCCCTAACCCCCGACCCCCCATCCCATCCCTCCAGTCTTTTGTACTTGACCCAAAACCACCTCATCTCTGCTTTCCCATCATCCTGGAGAGTGTGGCCCCTTACATGGCCGCTTTCAAAGCCCCCCCCCCCCTCACCTGCTGTCTCCCGCATTGGCCACATACATCTTGCCCAGCAGGTACACCACAACCAGTGCACAGCAGCCCCCCTCCACTTGGTGGCCACGCCGCTCCCGAGCCATCTGCTCATCCTGCCAGGTGAGGAAGGGTCAAAGGGAACAGAAAAACTTCCGGTTCACAGTCACCTGCCCTACGACGTGCCTCTGCAGACCCTAGTGGACAAGGGGAGGGGAGGCCCACAGAGGGTAACAGGACCAAGTCCTCTCAGAGGTGGTGTGGATTCTGGGGGCCATCCATCCTCTGACTCCCACCACACAGTGTTGACTAGAGCATCTACGTAGCACACTGCTGCCACAGGGCACCCACTCACCATGAGCTGGAAGGCATTCTCGATGGCCCCTACTACCAGACTCTCGTGGGTTACTTCCTTCTGTGGAGACCAGCAAGACTGGGGGCTGACCAGGTGTGAGGGATCAGAGAAACCTGGGGTTCCCGGGGTGGATGGGAGGCAGAGGGGAGGAGGCAGGGGGTCCTGAAGTATTTCCGCTAGATCCTTCAGCTGCTCCCGGATGTGGCGATGCAGGAGCCGCGAAGCCATCTCAGCTGCCCCGCCGCCGGCATGCCCATCAAAGAGGCCCCAGTAGTAGAAGCAGAGTCCCTGATGAAGGGGAAGTTGGAAGTCAATCGGGGTGGAGGGGGACGGGCATCCACGGAAACATCGCACAGGAGATCTGAGTGTGATAGTAAGGCAAATTCGATTTATCCACTTATTCATGCACAGCCTACTGTGTCAAGAGAAAGAAGAGCCAAATTCGAACTATGGAGGATCCAAAGAGCAGCACCGATGATTAGTTAAATCATCCAAAAAAAACATGAGCAGCTATATTTTAAATGGAATAGTGAACATCCGCAGTGGAACTGGTCTAATTGAAGCCATTAGGGCTTCTGTGGTAGAGGCAGAACATCCACACTTCTGAAATCCCTGGGGAGGGGTGTCACCCTCTGGAGGCTAGGAAAGGGGATGAAGTATTACCTGCTTCTGGGTAGGCTCCCTGGAGGTCCCTGTACCACTCCTTCGGCTTTCCACATACACGACTTCACAACAAGCCTGGTCCTCATTATGCCTGCTCTTGCCAGCATTGATGACCCTGCCAGGCCAGAGTGTCCCACATCAGGTTAGACACCAGACTAGGTCCTGGAATAACCCCACCTTAGACACACACACATCATCTCCTGCCTGCTGGCCAAGCTGAAAAAGGTCACAGCTGCCTGGGCTTCGAGCCAGAGGGAAGAGGAGAAGGCAGGGCCAGCAAGAAGTCCTGTCTGGGTGGCAGAATGCACCGCCTCATAGAAAGGACCGCAATAGTAACCCCCTGCCTCAGTTCCTTCATCCTTGGGCCAAGGAGGCTTTCTGCAAGGTGGTGCTGGGGGTGTGGCCAGACAGCAGCAGTAAGTTTTACTTCCCTACCAGTCAAAATGTTACATTCCCACCTCCAGTCTCAACCACCGCTGCCAGTGATTCACCGGTACATCCACCCTCACCGTAAAACCACCCAGTGAAAGTTCCGATCACTCTTGCAGTGAGGAAGTGCTCCAGCCCAAGTTGGGTAAGAGGAAAGGTAGGCTCACCTGGACTGGGCAAGAGTCTCTTAGCTATAAACTCCTCCCATGTGGGAAGCTAAGTGAGGCGGTGAGGGTGAGGGGCCACCCACCACCTCCCTCCACAACCTCAGTGCCCCCAGGTCCCTGGTGGCTTGGCTCGGTTTTCCCCAAGATGCATTAAAAATATAAAGGTTCTGGGAGCACGCTGCCGCTCGGGCCGTGTGAACCAAGGGGTCTATTTCCTTGCCCTACCAGCACCCGTCTGTCTGCAGACCCGCGCCCAAAGGGAACCATCGCGCGCCGCCGGCGGACCCCTCCCCCGCCCCAGGAAGCCCGCGGCCTTCTGTTGTCGCGGGCTATTTCTGGGTGTGGAGGGGGAGGGGACCGGTAAGAAGGACAGGGAACTGGGGCGCTGGGGCCAGGAAGCGGGTGAGCGAGACTTTCCACCCGTGATCTCCCTGGGAAAAGGAACTGCTCCTTTCCGAACCTCCCTTCCCTTAGCCTGTGAACCGTGGGCAGCGACTGAACTGGCCAACTCATCCTTGGTGCGCCGTGCGCTCTCCTTAGGAGGGGACTGTCCTGAGCCAGCGAGGGGAAGGGTGGGCAAGGTCCTAAAGAAGGGTATTGAGGCTGCACCCCGTCCGAGAGAGGGCTGGAAGGGTGCAGTCTCCTGGGAAGGTCCCCGGAACCTCGTGCGGGGGGGATGCATCCCAGCGGCCAGGATGCGTCTCCTGGGAGGGTGGGAGTCCCATCCTCAGCTGGGAGCCCCGGGGGTGCTCACTCGGCATAGCCTGTGCTCCAGGGCAGGCGGCGACCGGTGTCCGGGGGGCTTTGCACGGCCCTGCCTGCGTGGTCGTCGGCGCGTCGCAGCCCCCCGGGGCTCAGCTGAAGAAAGGTGGGTCTGGAGAAGCTCGCCCGAGTCTCCGCGGTCTTCTGGGGCAACCCGACCACGCTCCCAGGCCTCGCCGGGGGGCTCTTAGGCGTTTCTGAGGCGGCAGGAGGCGTCGAGGACGCGTTGGGCAGATCGGGGGACTTAGGGCGCTGGGACGGAGGGCCACCCGAGCTCACCAGGTGCGCCACAGCAGAGCGCACCCGGTTTAGCATGCTGCCTCCCTGCCCCGCCCTCGGCCGTGGCCCCGCCCCCGGAGAGGCCCCGCCCCTAGGGCTTCAAGTGGGCGGTGCCCTCTCTTGATCCAGGCCAAACTTCCCCAGGCTCTAAGCCTTGCGGGAACTGCCTGCCCCACCAGCTCCCCGCCTCTTATGGGCATCCCGACATCGTTCCGCCAGAGTGTCACAGGGGAAGAGTCTGTTGTGGGGAGGAAGCGGAGAGAAGGAAACATGTCAGTCGTTCTGTAGCTTAGACATCCGCTAGACTTAATCCGTTAGAATTCACCCATTGTGACGGGGGTGGGCGAGGCAGCCTATTGCGTTCCGTTCGGGGTGGCCAGCACAGCATAGGGAGTTATGGAGATGATGACTTCAGAGCGAAACATCCACTTGGGTGTGAAGCACTTGGTGTGACAACACCTCAGGCTGGAGCTGCTGAATCGAGAGAAGAGGGGGGGGGAGAGGGGAGGGGAGGGAGGGAGGGAGAGAGACAGAGACAGAAAGGGGAGAGGAGAGAGCGCGCTGGTGCGGGCTGCTGTGCTAATCAAGCCCGGCAGCTGACCTCCCCAGATCGGGGTCCTGGGGCAAAATCTTGGGCCCCTGAAGGCACTAGTCTGTCTAAAGGTCACCTTCACATTCTAGAGAACGGTTGTCACTCCCACCCCACTTTCTCAGAACCGTTCCTCCATGTTTAGACTTCTGCCGGCCAGTCAGTAAGGCTAACGGCATACTAAATAACTACGGTTATTGAGGACTTGCTGCACACTAGGCCCTCTACAAAGCACGTTCTGTTCATTAGGTCACTACACCGATACCGCAAGGTGGGCTACACCCATTTTACAGATGAGGCCGGAGTGGACAGTCTCCTGTTATTTTACTAGACCTGCTCAAGAGTCACGCAGCCACTTCCAGAGCCGTATGCCTGGCAGAACCTGTTTCTGCCGCCGGTTTCTCTGGATTAAGAAGGGACTCATAAAGGAGTGGGAATCCTAAATTCCCACCCTCGGATGCTTCAAGCAGAACGGGGATGCTGAGCAAGTTCTCTGGCTACCGCCAGGGGGAGGCAAAGGCCACTCTTAAAGCTTGTCTGGGCTTCAGGAAAGCCCACTGTTAGAAACTGGGGCTGGACCCGGCACAGGTGGGCTGTTTTTCTGCCTTCTATAGGAGAGGATTACTGTCCTGACTCGGAAGGAGTTTTGTCCTTATACTTGGGATTAGAGTAGTTCCCACCATACAGTTCATTGCCCAACATACAGTCCAACAGAAGTCAAGGCCCTTGAGGGGACCACAGACTCCCTGTTCATAGCTGGAATTCTACATGTAGGCACCCAGTTGGTGCTTCCTGATCACACCCTGGGATAGCCTGTGCCTCCCCGAAGGGGTGGCTTTCTTGACCACTTCCAAATAAAAAATTCCACAGTGGTCATTCAAAGTGCCCAGACTTGCTGTAATTATGCCTGAGCTTTTGGGGGGAAGAAGAGGGCAGAGAAAAATGAAGTCACCAGGATGGAGTTGGGGTGGACTGGTAAAAATTCAGACTCAAAAACAGCAGCAAAGGCATCCAGGGACAAAGAGCATACTGCCACTATGGGCATTTTCTTCCTGTTCGAGAAAAACTGAAGCCAACTGTCTGATAAATGGCATAGTGTCAGTGGGGAAGCCAAAGACCGGAGAGAAAAAAAGAGTAACTTGGGTTTTATTATTCAGTGTTTCTGGGGCAGTTCGTCACTTCTCAGTGTCATCCAGCTTCCTTGCTCCTCGCAGATACACGTCGTGGCTGGAAAAGTGGGCCACAGAACTAGGGCCCTTAGACCCCTGGACTCCAATACCAGGTAATGGTCAAGGGGGTCGTTTGCTCCCCTGGACTCTGGAACCATTCTGGCTCCCATCCATAACCAAATTTGAGGGCTCTCATACCTCTGCCCCCCCCCCACATATTCCTGGACCTCTTCCATCCTGACTCACCCACACCTGCTTAGAGGTTCTCTCCCTGAGGCAGTAGAGGGTGAGGGTGGGGGAAAACAGGGAAAGAACATTTATGAGATGTGTTCTCTCCTGGGAGCCAAAAGACATTCCTCAGTGACAGAGGAGAACCAGGCCTGAGCCAGGGAAGGAACAGAGCATCCTCAAAACAGGCCTCCTTAGTCAGGCATGGTAGCACACTCTGTAATACCAGGAGGCAGAGGCAGAGATGAGAGGATCAGAAGTTAGCAGCTAGCCTGGGCCGCGTAGCAAGTTCAAGGCCAGCCAAGGCTGCATAATGAGTCTTTGTCTTTGGTGGGGGGCATGGCTTAGCAAATAAAGGTGCCAATCAATCAATCCCCAGCACCTACAAAGTGGAAAGAAAGAGAGTGAAAGAGAGCGGAGACTCCATCCCTTGTCCCAGGCTGTGTACTCAGGACCCAGAGCCAAGTTTATTCTTTGTTTCTCCCCCATACTTTACCACCTCCCCAGCTCTTCCTGGCTGTAACAGGTGCAGACCTCCCTCCCAAAGAGACAGGTTCACAAACACCTCTGCCCTCGAGTGCCTAATGCATCCAAAATACGAACCTGTTAACATTTTGTAATTAGGATTATTTACCATTCTTCTGAGGAAGACACTGGGAACCTCAGATTTGGTTCCCAAGATGAGAGTCACACTCGTTATCCACAGGGCCATTCACCAGCCTCCTGAAGCCCTCCAGGCTGGTTCTCCACCCTGGTACTACCCCTAGTCCTCCCGGGTACGAGGACAACGTGTCTGTGCTGGAAGTATTTGCTATTTCTTTCTGGGGGTCAGCGGGGAAAGCCGGTGGTAAAGAACATTGTGCAACATAGGAATCTTCCAATACAGTGGTCCTAGCTCCCAGTGCCTGGAAAGCACCTCAAATAACACTTGAGTGAACTAACCAAGGACTGGGTTTTCTCCCCTTCTCTCTCTCTCCTTCATTTTGAGATATGGTCTGACTGGAACCCTGTGTAAACCATGTGGACCAAGCTGTCCTCAAACTTGCAAGCAACCTCCTGTGCAAGCAACCTCCTGTCTCCCCTGTCCCCATCTGTTTTTTGTTTTGTTTTTGTTTTTGTTTTGATAGGGTCTCACGCTATTATAGCCCAGGCTGCGCCAGAATTCGTGACAGTTCTCCTGCCTCAGTCTCCCGCGTTCTGGGATTACAGGTGTGAGCCGCTTATACATGGTCTGAAAAACTGAATTTTAAGACTTAACGAGCTCAGATTTAAACACCAGTCTACTGCTGGCGTAGGTGAAGACTACGCCCAGCCCCAAGGCCTACCCGGACCCCAGAACACCACCTCCCTCCCTTGCGCCACAGGAACTGGGGGCTACATTCCTGGAGGTTTTGGGGACCTGTTCTAATTGTCACGAGCTGCCCCCAGAAGCCTTGTCCGTGAAAACAGAGCCCGTGGGCTTCTGTCCCTGGTCTCGCCCTGGGCCACCAGAGGCCGCTGCGAGACAGCTGTGTTCACCCTCCCCACAGAGCGCCCCACACATCTCGAAGGAGGCAGAGGTCCCCGCAAGGGCTGAAGCAGCGGGGACAACTCCCAGGCAAGCGGCTGCGCGCTCCGCAGCCTGAGGGCGGGAAGCTTGGGTGGACCCGGCTGAGCCCCACAGGGCTGGTGGGTCCAGGCCCAGAGCATCCTAGTGCTCAGAACCGGGCTCACTAGGACGCCGGATTAGCCATTGCCCTGCACTCCTCGGGGCACAGCAACTTGATAGCTCGGGACCAGACAACACCCAAGCTGGCCACTCCCGGGAGAAACCCGCCTTTGGGAGTCTAGATCCCAAGCTCAGAGGCATCGAGGACCTCAGGCCAGAGGGTTGAACCGGGGCCACTGCTGTGGAGCAGGTGGGTACCAGGAGCAAGAATGGGCGCTGGAAGGGGACAGGAGCAAGCAGAGCAAGGTGGAAGGTTCTTATTGATCCCTTGTTGGTATGCAGGCTGCTCCCTCAGCATCACCTTAGCCTGAACTGGGGACTGGGAAAACAGCCCTAGAAAACTGAGGTAGACGCTGAAGAACAAATCCCAGAAGCCTCCTTCTCCAGCTCCGTTTGAGGAGGAAATAGAATGCCAAAGATCCTGAGTCCCCATTTCCCTAAGTTCTCTGTGCATTGGAGTACCCAGGAGAAATGCATGAGTTAGATGGGATTTGGGGAGAGCTCAGCCGGAAACAGGATATCGTCAAGAGAAGAACAGGTGGCTTTTGCGATGCTCAAAATGAGGGGCCCCCGACACGGGCTGGAAGAGCAGACCCACTTAGCAAACAGGCACACACAGAAGGGCAAGAACACCCCCATTCCCAACGAATGGGCGCCACCCACCCCCATCCCCATTCCCCCTCTGGGCCTTTCCAGAGCTCAGCAGCCCCGTGCGTCTGTTTCAGTTTCTCACGGGAGACTGAGCGGGGACAGGACCTTGGGGGAGAATGGAGGCGCCCTTGTGGGCTGTGCGCTGAAGCCGGGACCTGTTGCACCGCTAGGCTAGCGCTCTGTAAGGACTGTAGCAGAATTAAGCCAGCTCCAGAAGAGCCCAGGAAGTGAGGCTCATGACGGTTTGGAGGTGGGGGCGAAGGGAATTTGGAGACCTCGGGATTCTCCCCCAGGGGTCTCTTCCGGGACGAAGCTGGCAGATTCTGCACGCTTCTCTGACCTTAGCTCTGTCCCAAGACCAGAGCGATGGCAGCAGCACTGGATCTTATCCCCTCACCCCTGCTTGGCTCCTAGGAAAAGGAAAACCCAGCCACTCTTCTCAGGGAGGGGTCACCTCCCCCTCAGGTTTCCATAGTCTGGGGGAGGAGGGCTGGGGAGCAGGGACAGATTCCTAGAGCAGAAATGACCGCCCTTGCCACCGGAACAGCCTAAGCTGGACTTCCTTTAGTGCCCAGCCCGTTCCCTTATTCTCTTCCAAGCTTTCTCTTGGCCCCTGCAGGGGTCTGGTCTCTCTCTATTCTGAACTACCTCCAAATGGCTCCCTGCTTGTCCAGGTGGAATGAGTCTGAGACCAGCAGATGAACAGACAGAAGCCTGAAGACTCCGGGGACCGTAAGTGAGACCGCTGGAGATGGGAACGGAGGAGTGAGCGTCCCCCCCAAGGCAGCTTTGGCACCTGCTCAAGCAGGTTTTAGGGACCTGATCTGAGGTCCTAGTCAGAGCTGGCACTGGCTGGGGCCAGTGAGCTAGGCCAACCCTTGACCTCCTGGGGCTCTTCCTGTCCCCTTCTGCGGCTAGTGACTCCCAGTTTCTCTGCGTTTCTGCGTCCCTGGTTTCCCTCTGGTTCTTGCCCACCCTCTGGTATAGACGTTTGAGGCCCTGTTCCGTTCACAGGAGAAAGGAGCAGGAGAGTGCTGGGCCTAGGGTAGGCTTCTGGGTCCTGTCACAGGCCAGCCAACCTCTGGCAAGACATTTAACTTCTACCCTAGGTTTGTTTCTTCCCTCCTTCCTTTATTTCTTTTAGTGTATGTGCACGGTGTATGCATGTGTGCACCATGTGAAGGCCAGGGGAAGCCTCCTGACAGAGGCCTCCTGCTCTACCGCTCTCCACCACACTCCCTTCAGACAGGGTCGTTCACTGAATCCCGCACTGGGCTGTCCAGCAATCCACTGATCTTTTTACACTGGCCAGCTTTTCACACCTGTGTTGGTATTCCCATGCTTGCTCAGCAAGTCCTCTTTCTGACTGAGCCACCCCCCTCAGCCCCGTGTTTTGTTTTTGTTTGTTTGTTTTTGATTGTTTGAGATAGGATCTTCCCATGTAGCTTGGAACTCACTATGGAAACCAGGCTGGCCTCAAACTCCCAATGGTCTTTCTGCTGCTTTCTCCGAAGTGCTAGGATTACAAGCATCTGCCCCTATGAAAAGCCTTTCTTCCTTCCTTCCTTCCTTTCGTCCTTTTCTTTCAAAAATTGAAATTGTGTTCAGATTGAATTGCACTGCTACTACAGTCCCATGATTTGAAACTCAAACACATAAAAGAAAGAAACTGGTGGGGGAAAAAACCATTCTTCGTTCCACTTCTCTTCTAGAAAAGCAACAGATTTCCCTTCTTAAAGGCAAACAAGCTACGCTCTCCAGACCTGGTGTGTACATATTAGGTCACACACACACACACACACACACACACACACACACACACACACACACACTGCCTTGTACGCACGGTGTATACACCTCCTGCTTGTCGCTTTTCCCCCTCCTGTAAGACTGGGTTCTCACTAGAGTCTACCACACACATCATTACAAAGTTCCCAGATGATTTTGGGTTCTGTTGTGTTCTGTTCTGTGTTCCCAGTGATGTGGAGAGAACTGCATTTTCAGGTTCTCCACAGTGTACTCAGCTCCTCTACTGATGGCTGTTAGGGTTAGATCCAAACTTTTGGAGCTTTATTTGTAAAATGGGTAATAGCGATCCTTTGTGCAGTGGGACATAATCAAGAGCACACAAGTGAAGTGTCTGGGTCAAGAGCTCAAAAAGTGGGAGTCAGCATCATTGTCTAACCCATGGCACAGCCCTTTGATCCACTCTGCAAGATCTCTTGAATGTCTCCTCCGCAGGCTCTGCCTTCCTGTTCCCTGGTCCTTCTGTATCACTCATCACTGGCTGCAAGCTGCCTGGAGACGAGGTATGCATCCTGCTTAACCTGGGGCTTCTAGAGCATGACACAGAGAACGGACTGAGTCTGAGTGCAGAGGGAGCATCTGCCCCGAGCTAAACAGGGTCTGTACTTCTCTTCACAGAATGAGCGAGAGGACCGCGAGCAACTGGAGCCCAGGCAGCTGGGTGCTAGCACTGTGCTTGGCCTGGCTGTGGACACGTCTGGCCTCTGCTTCTTTGCAGCCTCCGACAGCCGCAGGTTTGGGGGAGGCAGTGAGACTAGAGAAGGGGTTTTCTAGGACATCTGGAGAGCTCGAAGGCCCTCCAACCCATCCCACAAAGCCTGCAAATCTCTGGGGCAGAGTAAATATTTGCGGAGGTGACTCCTCTGGTCGTCACCCAGGAAACTGTCCTCTTCTGCTGCTGCCCTCCAGAGAAGGCCCGGGTAGACACCCTGGTACTATCTTTTCCAGGGGGAAGGTGTTCTGCTTTGAGAGGCCCTCGGGTGGAGGCTTAAGTCTAGTCTCCTGGCCTAATTCTGGGGTTTTCCTTCTGGGATGGCTAAAGCCTCTGTAAGCGGATGATCCTCCCCCACGCATTGTAAGCTCTGGGGCCCTTGCCCTCACCCTGAGAAAGCAGAAGGTGGGGGCTGGTGCGCAACTCCAGCTTTCAAAGAGTCGTGAGCACGGCCTCAGCAGGGTGGGGTGGAGAGGTAACATGAAGGTGTCATCCGCTCTTCTCTCCCTTACCATCAGATAGCACGCATTCTCTCTCTGTCTCTTTCTCCCTCTTTTTGCATGCATGCGCGTGTGTGCATGCGTGCATGCATGCGTGCGTGTGCGTGAGTGTGCATGTGCGTGTGCGTGTGCGTGTGCGTGTGTGTGTTTTGAGTACTTGCCTCTATGTGTGTGCATGCGTGCGTGCGTGCGTGCGTGCGTTTGTGTGTTTTGAGTGCTTGCCCCTATGCTAGGCATAGTTCCACCACTGAGTTGCAACCCCAGCACTGGATATCTCTTACATGACCTTTCCATGACCAAAGAGGAGGGACTTGAGGACCTGCAGCAGGGTGGGAGGGAGGAGGGCAGGTGTGGAGGCCAGGGTCACCTGATCTTATACTGCTGGCCAATCAGTCCTAGTAAAGCAAGGCACCTGTGAGGTGATCGCCGCACATCGCTGCTGCAACCGGAATCGCATCGAGGAGCGCTCCCAGACCGTCAAATGCTCCTGCCTTTCTGGCCAGGTGGCTGGCACCACAAGGGCAAAGCCCTCCTGCGTGGATGGTGAGTGAATGGCCAGGTCCTGGGCAGCCAGGTGGGTAAGGAGGCCCAGAGCAGAGATAAGAAAGTCTGTCTAGGCCTTGCCATCTGCTGGCATCTGGTTTCATAGCCATCTCAAGACTTACCTTATCAGTCTCAAGTGATGGAGACTCGTCTTGGAGGAGAGGGCAGACATGACCTGCCCTGTGTCATAAAGGAAGACAGCTCTTGTTACAGGTCACACACACACCTGCCACCTGGTCCTTGCACACAGGGATGCATTCCCTCACACTAATTCCTCTGCCCACGCACTCCTCCAGAGAGGTCCTCTTCTACAAGTCCACTCTTTTCTCAGCCTACCTTTGCCTTCTCCTGTGGACACATGTGATCCCTCCCATCGCACATCCACTTTCCCTCCTTTCTGCCCACACTTGTGTTCTCACGCTCTGGCGGCATCCATATCACCATGCTCACGCTCACTAGCTTGCACGACAGCTTGTGCACTCCTGGAGGTGGTGTGGATATCAGTTCATATCCACTAAGGAAGGAGAGCACTGAAGGCGGTACCTCTGTGCTAAGGACGGCTGCCTCCTTCACCTGCCTCCTAGCTTGACATCCTCTTCCCCTTTTGGTGTGATGCAGTAATGAAGTTGATTGGGATAGCCCCCAGTCTCAGTCTAAGTACGGTGTTGCCTCCTTGGACAGCCCAGGGTAGGGGGAAGAGAAGGGAGAGGTAGCGAGCAAAGCCCTAGGCATGTGGGAAGGAGGTACACCTCATTCACAGACCAGCGAGGTCAGCACTGTGTGCTCCCAGCGCTTAGAGCCACCCCTGCCTCCTGCCCCACAGCCTCCATCGTCCTGCAGAAGTGGTGGTGTCAGATGGAGCCCTGCCTGCTGGGGGAGGAGTGTAAGGTGCTCCCGGACCTGTCGGGGTGGAGCTGCAGCAGTGGACACAAGGTCAAAACCACCAAGGTATTGAGGTGGATGCTTCATCCTCCCCTCCTGTTCCCCTTCACCCGGGGTAGCACAGGGGCCAAGTCCTGGAGGGCCAGGATGGCAGTACTGTAAGGTGGGCAGGTGAAACGTGAGAATGCATGCCAGGCAGTCCTCCTGCGGCTGCCTCCACTCTAGGCACGGCTGCTGAGGATGTGGTTTGCCCTGGTAGGCAAAACTGATGTTCTGCATGCCTTGGTTTTCTCCTCTTTGCTTAGCGTGGGTTTACCACTAAAAAATATCAGGCCTTTCAAAACAAAGTGGAGCAGGGCATAGTGGCACACATCTGTGATCCTAGTACTCAACAGGAAGATCAGGAGTTCAAGGCTAGCCTGGACTGCATGATACCTGTCTCCAAAACAAACAAACAAACAAACAAACCAAAACAACAGCAACAACAAAAGCCTAAGGGAGAAAAAAGGTGGAGAACTAGGAAATTACCTAGGTCATCCAGGGAGGAAATTTTCCTAATATCTGAATTCCAGAAACAGTAACCACTCTGCTTACCACCCTCTGCCACAGAGTGTGCCCAGTCCCTTATACCACAGCCATTAACTCCCTGCCGTTTCTACCTGCCCTCCTGTAGTGAGATTGATCTTTTCTCAGTGACAGCACCAAGAAGATTATTATCGTGGCTTGCTGCCTGCCCCCACAAAACAAGGGGTAATTAAAATTTTATCAGACTCTTTAGCAGTTCCATGTGTGCCTTGGCTAATTAGTTTCATGCCATTGTCGTCATCATCTGTGCAAATGAGTGACAAGCCAAGGCAGTGTCTCTGCCCCCAGCCCCCACATGCACAGTGAGAAGGCTAACAAACAGTTTCTCAGGCTCTAAGAAAAGTGGGGGTTTTCACAGAACACACAACACTGGTAGCTAGCTACAGCAAGAAACTGTTTGGGGGCTGGAGAGATGGCTCAGTGGTTAGGAACGATTCTTGCTTTTGTAGAGGACACAGGTTCAATTCCCCGCACCCACATATGGCAGTTCACAACTGTCTATAACTCAGTCCTAAAGGATCCAGTACCCTTTTGTGGCCTCCTAAGGCACCGGGAACACATGTAGTGCACAGACATTTATGCAGATACAACACTCATACACACAAAACAAAAAAAGGAAGGGGGCCTGGAGAGATGACTCAGTGGTTAAGAGCACTGGCTGCTCTTCCCAGAGTTCAATTCCCGACAACTACATAGTGGTTCACAACCATCAGTGAAGTTGGATATGATGCCCTCTTCTGGCATAAAGTCGTACATGCAGCTAGAGCACTCATAC